AGGTGTCCTGAGGTCATGCCCATGTCAAGCGAGTGTGGATCTGCCATCCTTCTGCTGGACAGGGAGCTCTAAAATTGTCTCTTTTGTTGACGGGATTATCAATTTATGTGTTAAGCGGTCATGAGGTCCGTGCGATTCTGTGCGGGACTCTGTCTAGATACCAGGTTCTTTGTTCCGTGGTCCATTAGATGGTTTATTTATGCTGAAGCCAGTCACGAAACCTACTGACGTTCTGTTGCTTAAATGAATCCAGATGGGGGGGGGGTCAGTTCTTGTTGTTTCTTGTAAAGATAAGCAGAGAGAGACAGGAACTCAATTGAGAAAGTTGGCGCCTGGGCTGACCATGGTTCAGCTTTTACGACTCTCATATGGTTTGAGAAGAGATGTTAGTTTCTAGGTGGAATGCGGAGATTCCTCTTTCATTTGTGTGATGTTCGCAAATGCCTTACACAAATCTTACTGTTCAAAAGACTTTTGACTGGTAGTGTATATTTTTTGTAAAATTTTAGATTTAATTATTTTTAGTAAAATAATAAATATAAAAATACCCAATGAAACAATGGATGTATTTTTTATTCATCTTTAAGTATGTGGAGGACCTGGGCCCGGTTGCATTAAAGTCCTTAAGCTAAGAAATCTCTTAGTTATAAGGTTAAGGGAACCCTTAGTGAAACTTGGGTTGCAAGAAAAATCCTAAGGGTCGACTTAAGGAACCTTAAGGCTGTCATTAAGTATTCCCCTTAATTATCTAAGTGTTCCCTTAAGCGTTGCTACAAAGTCCTTAGTAACTATTTCACCTTGATAAATTTAAGAGACCAAAACAGCTCCCTTAAGTCATCTTAAATTCAGTATCTGCAGGATTTTTAAGCTCAAATGTAAGACTTAAGACATTTTTTAAGACCTGCACAAATAAAATATCATATGAGCGCAGTAGGGCAATGACTATGGTAACATATTAAACTGTAAAATGACTGTAAAAAGCATGACTTTTTACAAAACAAAAAGTTTTATATAATTTTTTAAGAAAATGGATGAGTTTAATCAATTATTATATTAATTTAAACAATTATTATTAATCATTACATTAATTAAATAATAATTAAAATGTAATATATGTCTTAATTGTTTAGATTTTGATAATGCGTTATCTTCTTGTCGATCCACCTGTTCACATTTACAACTCTGCACAAAACATGGGTTAATTTTCACATTTGGTAAATTTTCCGTATTATACATGTGACATGATTTGTGTACATACTATAACTTTGTAAACCCTATACAGGCTGAGGTTTGATATGAGAGAAACCAAACAATGAAGATAACATAAGTTGAGTCTTTGCATATTTAGTATTATACATGTGACATGATTTGTGTACATACTATAACTTTGTAAACCCTATACAGGCTGAGGTTTGATATGAGAGAAACCAAACAATGAAGATAACATAAGTTGAGTCTTTGCATATTTAGTATTATACATGTGACATGATTTGTGTACATACTATAACTTTGTAAACCCTATACAGGCTAAGGTTGGATATGAGAGAAACCAAACAATGAAGACTGAAATATAGTAACTGAAAGAAGTCAACCACAAATGTATAAATCGCCATGCATGATTTAAGTCCTTAAGCCCTTATAAATGTCTAACAAAGGCCTTGTGCAGTGTCTCCAGTGTGCGGTAAGGTTACTGTTTACGCTAGCAAAGGAAAAGTGCAGTGAGCTCCGTGTCCATCTGTGGAGCCAGCAGCAGCGTTTCTGAAGTGAGTGGGCAGGATTGTGTGATTTCTCTGTGCGCTGACTGAAGCCCTTGTGCTCTCCTCTATGTTAATGAGCAGTCAGGTCAGTGGGAGGGAACAGACAGAAATAGCCCATTACCTTTAGTATGTCGCTGTGGGAGCGATGCTAGGTGTCACCTGGACATGTGGTGTGGTGTTTCTTTGAAAAATGTTATGGGGGATATCGACTGCTTGTAGTTGAAGGCTGTTGTTGTTGCTGACGTGGCTTTGGGTTTTCATTCTGTGGCCTTAAACTGAGGGTGATAACCTCTTATTGATTTTTTTAAGTGTTCTATGAATCTGCCAGGCGTCAAGGCCTTTGTCTGCTGTCTGAACGTGCAGTAAGTGTCCTTCACTGTAATAAGTTTACTTATCTTCTCCTCATCTACTTTCCCTCATTTTAGTTAAATCATTGCCACATTTGTTACCTTAATTGAACCCGTTGTGAAATCTGCATGGGGAAATCTCATGGATTCCTAGTGAAATTATTGGATTTGCCTGCAAAACTTTGCCAAACAATGGTAAATGTGACCACACCTTCAGTTAAATTGTGGTCACGTCTTTCCCAGTCTCAATTTAGTTAAATTGTGGCCATGATTTGTCATGTGTCAAAACAAAACAAAAAAAGGCAAAAATTGAGGTTACAGGGAAGCACTTACAATGGAACTAAAAGGGGACAATTTTTGAAGGATTTCAATGCAGAAAAGCTTTTGATTTTATAAAATAAGATTTATTTCTTCTGTGCAATTATTTAATCTGTACAGCTGTCCTTGACAAGTTTATGTTGCTATGGTAATAAAGTTGTAAAATCAGATTTAACTTACCCAGAAAAGGTTAGTAAGTGACTTCTTTCCACAGAAGCATCCAGAGCATCGCTTCAGGACAGCAGCAAACTTAGA